ATTCTCTGCCATTCCATTTCATATTGTTTTTGCCTGTTGGGAGGGAAATTGTAATAATTTAACCCTTAACATTAATTCAAAATTCTCCTTTTTTTTTCTCATAAAGAAATAAATTAAATGTATTGTCAAAAACGAAAATAAATAAATGTGCAATAACATAACACTAACTTTTTTTTTTGTCAAAGATAAATGTCAGTTACTCTGCCATGCTTATTTTTGGTCTCATTCATTGTTTTTAGTGATTGTTATTAAAAAATTTCAGTTAAATTATTTTGTAGTAAAATTGGTTGAAATATGTTAATACAAAATTTATGTAGGATCAATTTCAGTATAGTTTAATTGATTAAGTTATATATATCTATCAAGAGATGGAAGATTTGTATCTCGTCCAGACGTGTTGAACTTGAAAAAAGAAAGATTATGGATGTGAAAGTGTTGTTTCTGTTAATATATTTTGATAAAAGAATAATTTAACGACAGGTTGGCTTTTCTGTTAACAAAATTTAACCCTTTTTGTTTGTTGGAGTGATTGAGAGATTTTAGTACATTAAAGGTACATTGAGTGACTATGAAAGATTAATAACCAATTTGATAATTGCACGTTCGTAATTTAATTGTGTGAGGTCATGAGTTTGAATTTGTATATTAAAAAAATAATTACTGCTCAGCTATTCTATTTTAATATTGTTTCAGTCTCTAACCTGCTTAGTTTTTTTTTCTTTGGCTTTTTAATTTAAAAATTTTCAAACATTTTGATTTGGTCTATAAATTCGTTAAAAAAAAGTATTTAATAACTAGTATTAATATTTTCGCCGGCCATTTAACAAAACCTCAAATCTATTATTAAATTCTTCTAAAGACAAATCTATTTAAGACAAAAATAGTACAGAAAATCTATTTTAAAATTACACTTTTGTATCAATGCATATGACTCTAAAATATATTCGGTAGAATCGATAAAAATTGAATTACAAATATGCAAAATATCTAGAGATGAATTTTGAGTTGCCTGAATTGGAGATTCTTTTATGCAATAATTGTGTTATGGCCTGAAAAGGCAAAATAAAATAAATTTCCTTAGAACGTGAGCAAGTGTAACAAAGATGAAAAATATACTTTTTTAAACAGAGGACTTATATTTTTTTTTAATTTTAACACAATTTTTTTTCCATAATGAAAATTTTTCGGGTGCAAATTTAGTATTATGTTTGAAGAGATTTAGTGAGATAAGTATAATGTTAAAATTGTGATTAAAAAATGTGATAAAAATGAAAATGAATAGACAAAAATAGTCACATTCCAACAGCATAAGAAACTTATCCTTAAAAAAACAAAGTATCTAAATAGACGTTTGAAAGTGTAAAAGTATAAAAACTGACAAATTAGTATTTACCCCCTTAAATAAATTTCCTAGTTTGATTTAAAATATTATGCACAAATAGTTGTTAAATTTTACATTATTTATCCATTCAGATTAAAAGTAAATAAACCATGATGTAAAAAAAAATTCAAACTATCTATTATAATCCTAAATTTAAAAATAATGATAATTTAAATTTTTGATAAAAACAAAAATATAATTTCATAAAGTTTAAAATACGTGATGGTTTTAAAAGTTACGTTTATTTTATTAGTTTTTCACAATCTAAAACTGTGTTTGAAATTTTAGTTGAGTTTTAAGAATTAAAATAAAAATTAAATAAACTATCTTTTAGAGCGAAAAAAAAGGTAAGAAGAAGCATGGGTCTGAAAAGATCTTACGTGGGGCCCTCTGGGGAAAGCTTAGAAATTTATATAATATATGGTTTAATATTTAGATACGCGATGTGACAGTGATATGAATTTGACCAAAAAAAAAAGTTATTTATGAAATTGGAAATTATTTTAAAGAGTGATCAGACGATTCAGTGCTTGGTGGGCCAATTTGTCGTTTTCCCGTCGCTATTTTCCCCTCTCTTTTTTCTTCTTAATCTTCTTTGTCGACGAAATCCAAAGGTTTTTTTTTCTTTTTAAGCTTTATATTTTTCATAACAATATATTCTCTTGAAAAAAAATTCAGTATTCCAATGCAAATATTTTTATAAATCTTGGCTCTCGTACTTTTTTTTTCCTTTTTTTCTCGCAATTAAAATCTTTAATTCAAATTCTCTTAAAGAAAATATACCATAAATATATTGGGTATGTTATAATAATCTTAACTTAATTTCTCTATTCATCTCTCTCTTAACTTTTTATGTTCTTCGTAGTTTTTCAACTCGTTATTAATTGCTAGAGTATAAATTAAAATTTCTGTTTATTATCGGTTCATATCAAAGCTCTAATTCTTTTTATTCTATTTCTTTTGATGTCATTAAAAATTTATTTCATCTAGTTTGATACGTTAATATTAGACATTTGTTTAAGTTTGTTTACTTTATCTATGTCTATAAGAAATTATGAATGTGGATATGAAAAGCTTAAGAATAAAAGAAGAATAGAAAATTTGACTGCATCTAAAATATATCATATTAATAAATTTTTTATTGGAAGTAAAAGTAATTTAAATAATAGAAGAAAAGGGTAGGTATATATTAAGAAAAAAAGTAGATAATGATATGGTTGAAAATTAATCACAAAAACAAATCATAGATCATATATAATGTTAAAAGATAAATAAACCACCACTCGTCTCAAACGTTTAAACGAATGAAATCTCTCTTCTACAGAGAGCAATTAAAAGACCTATAATAAGAAGCTAAATTATCAATAAAAGAGTTCAGACTCTTTCAACATGCACAAAGGGCATAACATCAATCTTTGATACACTGGTTCAGTGTGGCTCTAATATCGTCAACAAGAACACAAGGTTCATTTCTCCAATCAATCTTATCATTTAGAAGGAATGAAAATGAGATTGATAAGGTATTATGCACATTTTTAGAGGATGAGATTACAAAATTTGAGATGGATTCCAACGTTTAATTTCATTCCTACAATTTGGTAAACATCATTAAAATAATGAAAAAAATATTCTCATTTCTTGATTCCTGTCCAAGTAAATATGGCCTCAAAGTATAGGGTGCGAGGGGGCATGGCTCATGTAGTCAGTGGCCCGTATTATTATTATTATTATTATTATTATTATATATTTTTGATAAGGCCATAATAATCTACATGTACTCCACCATACAAATTGCAGCTGCCACAATAAAATATTCGAAGGGTGGTTGGAAGTGGAAACCATCTCGATCGATTTTTTTATTTTAAACCAATTGAACATAGGGGTTTAAGGATTTAATTGGGTTTAAAAAAAAAGTTAATTCAACTTGATTGTAAGGGTATTATTCAACTCAAACTATTTGGCTAAGATAATACATCTAACTTACCAACTTTAAATTAGTTTG